ACCGTCAGCACCCGCCCCGGGCCTCTCCTGGGCGCCTCGGCCTCTGCCCCTTCGGCCCAGGGGGGAGGAAGGTGGATGGGCCCGCTGCCACCGGGTCCCCAGACCCAGAAGAGCCGGTCGTGGGGAGCGGGGTGCAGGCTGTCCCAGCCAGGCTGGCGAGCAGAGAGGCCCCAACCAGCAGAGGATCCCTGGGAGCCCAGAGGGGGCCCCCCCCAGGACGGGAAGCAGAGCAAGAGTGGCAACAAAACGAGTACATGAAGTCATGGGGGAGACGGGGGACGTCAGCGGCCGTGTCCAGCGGGAGAGTCACGGGGGCACCAGCCACAGAACAGGCGTGGCCCTGCTGGGGAGGACGAGGAGGGCAAGGGGGTGGCCCCGGCGGCGACGATGAGAAGGGGAGGTCCTGAGATGCACCTCTAGAGACGGACACGTCTTGAGGCTGCCTCGGGGACAATGGCGCAAGTGAGGTCACCATGGAATCAATGGAAAGAAAAAATAAGGTTGCCACGGTGAAGATGGAGAGAATGAAAGGGCCCGGGGCCGGCTGTGCCCAGGACGCGCGCGGCGAGGCAGGCGCCGCTCGCGGGCGGGCAGAAACAGCTCCGCGGAGCAGGCAGCAGAGCGTGGGGAGCGCCAAGGCGCTGGCGAGGGGGCCCTGGGCCCGGGCGGGCGGCAGAGGTAAGAGCGCGTGCCCTGGGGTGGTGCAAGACCAGCGGCAGAGGAAGGTGAGAGGTGAAGAATGGTGTGGAGGGAGCAGGTGCCGAGGGCGTGGATAGCAGTCACTGCAAACACAGGTCGCCCACGGGCTCTACGGCGGCGGCAGCGGCAGCAGCGGGAGGCGTGGGCGCGAGCAGGCAGCCCAAGGCGCTGTGCGTCTCAATGGGCGTGCACGGGAGACGGGGAGCTGCGAGTCCAGGCAGGGTGGGGGCTGGGGGCTGGGGGCTGGGGGCTGGCTCTAGGACTCAGCCTCCTGCCTCACCTCCCCTGCACCTCTACTCCGGCCTCCACTCAAGTGCAGGACAACATTTCCAAAGTGCAGGGGCGGCTGTAACGCACGGCAGCAACTGGCAGCAGGGAGGGGATCGGGCAGCATGGCCGGGGAGGGCGCGAGGCAGGCACGGGGCGGACAGAGGCAGGCAGACTGGGCAGAAGTGCGCCGGGCAGGCGGAGGCGAGGATGAATGGGCGAGGCCTGGGGAGCACTGGCTCTGTCTGGACGGGGTTCCTGAGAGCCTGGCCGGGGCCTGACCTGGTGGGCTGGACTGACAGCCACGCCCTGATGCTCAGAAAGAGGCACGTGGAGTGACGCAGAAGGACAGGGCGATCTCCTGAGAGTCCACACGGGCAGCTCACCCACCTGAGTCTGACCCAAGACTCCCGGAACGGTCCAGCCAAGTCCCAGCTGGACGGTGAGTTGGGGGATGGGCACTGCGTGTCAGATGCAGGCTCAGGACACCTAAGAGCTGACGGGCTGGGCCCCTACGGCGGAAGGCACACGGGACCCTGGGGCTGGGGTCTGCGGGGAGGGGGAGAGGAAGAGCTTGTGGGGGGACCGAGGCAGGGAATCGGGAGATGGAGGCCTGGGGAAAGACAGCTAAGCCTTCGTTAGGCCGATGGCAGCAGCGGGTGGGAAGCGTGGGAGAATGAAAAGAGCGGGCAGGTGGACTCAAGGCCTGGGCCCTGTTCATTCTAGCTCTGCCAGCAAACGCTTCCTGTAGCCTCAGGCAAACAATCTTGGGGCCTCAGTCCACAACTGCGGAATCACGGGTGCCTCAGAGTTAGAGCAGACGCGTCCAGAGATCCCTCAAGCTGGCCAGGAAGCCCTATGGGGTCGGGGAGAGGGAGGGTGTGTGTGTGCAGCCAGGAGGAGTGTCTGTGTGGATGCGCTGAGGGCGGCCCCGTGGGCTCGGAGGAACAGTCTGGAAGAGTCTGGGTGTGGACGGGGGGGCACCGGTAAGGAGCCGACGGAAGCGGCGCGCGTCAGTAGGGATGGAGGTCAGCAGGTGGCATCGTCCTGCCTGCTCCCTCCTGGCCGGGGGCTGGGGGCTCGGCCCTGCCCATTCGGTGAAGGCGGCCGGGCAGGCGGGAGGGGCGGGCACGTACCGTGAAGATGTTGGAGCGCCGCTTGGACTGCTTGCGGATGGGTGTGGGGGTGGAGGAGGCAGCGATGGTCTCGATGCGCAGCTCCCGCTGGCTGATGCTGGGGGTGGAGGGGACTGAGGATGAGTAGTCGCTGAAAGCGCTGCTGCCGCCATTCGTGGCCTAAGGACAGAGAGGGCTGCTGAGGGCGGCTCCGGGAGGGGCGTGGGGGCGGGTGGCAGGCAGGAGCTGGGAAGCCTGCGGTGCGGAGACCTGGCCGGGGGCTCGTGGGGCAGTAGGGGGGCCACCAGCTCCTACAGGTGGTACCAAGGGGAAAGGTAGCACGGCCTGGAGGCCAGCAGGACCCGGTGGTCACCACACTGGGCTGCCCCACTAGGGCCCCAGCAGGGGCCATTCGGGGTCAGCCTGGGAGCTGAATCGGAGGCAAAGGCTAGCAGGTTGGAGTCAGTGACAGAGGCCAGAAGAGAACAAACTGTGGAGTCTTGGCTCACAGGTGGGTGTGACGCGAGGTGGCAGGTCACCCTGGATGAGATCCCCAAGTCAGTGACAAATAAGCAAGGCTGCAGGAGGCCAGGGCGGGCCTCAGGGTGCAGGGGGAGGATGAGGTTTGCTTCGAGGCAGTGTGGGTGACAGGGCACAGGATATAGGAGGGCCGGGGCAGAGAGCGGAACAGCTAAACTAAGACTGCTCCAGAGGAAGCAGCAGGTGAGGGAGAGAGGCAGCAGAGGATCTCAGCAGAGAGACAGCAGGTGCTCGGCAGTGTCTACTCCAGGACTAGGGGAAACACAGTTTGACAAGGCCACCCGCTAACGGCCCATCGGATGATCACTAAATAGAGAACGTGTCCTGCCCTGGCAGCCTCCCCGAATCCTAACCCGTACAAAGGGAGCAAAACACCTGAGCTGCTGCCCCTCGGTGGGCAGGGCCCCCGTGCACAGCGGGTTCTGCAGCTGAGGCAGAGCCGCCCAGAGACCGTGAAGAAAGACCTTCCGTGCCTCCTTTCTTCCACGGGGGAGTGCTTACAGGGGAAGCCCTGATGCCTTCTAAAGCGCTAAAGGGAGGGCTCTCTGGAAAAGTCACCAGGCTGTCATCAGGACACTGGTGGGCCAGGGGGCCTCAGAAAGACGATGGCCCTTGGCAGAAGTGAAGGAGTGGCTGTCGGCTTGACCACTCAGCATGCACACCTGTGATGGCCCAGGGCTTTCTGCCGAGCAGGGACCGAGCGGGGAGATGCAAGTACCGGCCTGCCTGCCAAGGGCCAGAAAATAACCAGGCAGTAGGCCCAGGAAGTGGGCAGGTGTCCAAGTGGTAATACGGGAGGAACCCTGGCAGGACCCGGCTCAGAACATCCCCACTACCCCACACGTCACAAATGCCACTGGCCCTTGTGGGTAAGTGCTGCCCTTCTAAACACAAACACCGAGAGAAGGGCCAGCAGGTGAGGGCCAGCAGGGACGAGCTCAGCTTAGAGCCTCCTGAGTACGGCTGCACGGGAAGCGGGCACTGAGATAGCGCTAACGTGGCTGACCAGAGCAAATGCTTAGGCGGCCTCAGCTGCTGCAGCTGCGGGGCAAGGAGAGTGTCGAGCAGGGATGGGAACTAGCAGGAAGGCAGTCACCACGGGGTACAGAGGAGGCCAGGCCAGGCCAGGCCAGTCGTGCAGGCTAAGGGAACTCGAGCCAGTGCTTTCAAACCATCTGCAAGGCGGCACACCAGACGAGGTGGGGGGACAGGCAGGCAGGCAGACAGGATGGTGAGGCAGGGCCGCGGTGGGCGGGGCGTGCAGTGGCAGTGGGGGGAGGCTGCCCGCACCTGGTTGATATGCACGGCCGGGATGGAGGCGGCGGACACGGCAGAGTGGCTGGGAGAGTTGGGCAGTGACTTGCAGGGCCCGATGGCCAGCTGCTGCTTCTTCCGCAAGGCCACTACCTTCTGGGCCACTGCAGGGGACAGCACAGTCAATTACCCATCTAGGGAGGAGGGAGGAGCCCAGCTTAGAGCCGCCCCCCCCGCCCCCCCGCCCCCGCCTGCCTGACACCCCTCTGGGGGAGCGTCCCTGGCGCCGAGTTACCGTCCTGGAAGACGCGCTCCACGTTGAGTCCGTAGGTGGCGCACGTCTCATAGTAGGTGCAGCGCTTCAAGTCTGTGGACAGCTTGCGGGCCCTGCTGTCGTCGATGACCCGCGGGTTCGCGGCACTGATGGCGTCCCCCCCCCCCCCCCCCGCCCCCGCCTGCCTGACACCCCTCTGGGGGAGCGTCCCTGGCGCCGAGTTACCGTCCTGGAAGACGCGCTCCACGTTGAGTCCGTAGGTGGCGCACGTCTCATAGTAGGTGCAGCGCTTCAAGTCTGTGGACAGCTTGCGGGCCCTGCTGTCGTCGATGACCCGCGGGTTCGCGGCACTGATGGCGTCTGTTGGAGACGGGAGAGTGGGGACTGACTCAGCCTGCTGAGAAGCTGAGGCTGCTGGCCGGTGGGCCGTTTGGTCAGAGGATGGCTGGGCAAAGAGCCCGGGCAGCGGACGACACGGAGCACGAGAATACGGGTGTCTGGGCCTCGTTCCAGCTCTGCCACCAACTCACTGAGTGGGAACAGGCCAGCCACTCTGTTTATTCATCTCAAAATGTGGACACGACCACCACACGGATGGCAGGATCTTAGCTGGGGAAGACCCAGTGCATACGGGGCAAAGAGGAGGTGCCCACTCTAGGGCCACACAAAAGGGCTGGTCCAGCGCCAGGAGGGCGGGGGAGCCAGGCTTTCTCGTGCCTGCTGCCTGGGGGCCCAGAGCCCCCGCGTCACCCCTGCTGGCCCGCTCACCCTGCGTGCCCACCAGCACCATGGGCACCTCGCTGGCGTTGCGGAAGCTGCAGAGCCGCAGAAAGTAGTTGTACACCGTCTGGAAGCTGATCTCATCCTCCAGGCTGAACACAAACACCACCGCGTCCACCCAGGCAGCAAACTAGGGGCGACCGAGCACAATTACCACCCTCGCCTGGGCACGGGCGAACTGCGTACCCCTCTCCCCACACGCGACCTTGCCCAGTCCCGACTGGGAGCCTCAAGAAAGGGGCACCAAAGGCCAGGGCTGGGGGCAGGGGCGTCACCTGGAGCTCAGGGGGGCCTCCTTCATCTCGGATCAGCAGCAGGTAACTCTGGCCATCCACCACAATCTCCTTCTTAAACCGACCCCCTAGGACAGAGTTCACGGTCAGGCCCAAAACCAGAAGAGCGAGCCCATGGGGGCCAAACAGAAGAAATCCACAGCTTCCAACAGAGAAGACGGGAGCGCTGATAAAGTCAAGGGGCTGGAGCCCCCGCACAGACAATGGGAAGGAGGGACGGCGGCCATTAAGGCCGGCCCGTAACGCTCACCTTCTGGGGACTCCTCCTGGACATAGGTCCCCGTCAGATAGCGGTGCACCAGGGCCGACTTCCCACTAGACAGGTTCCCCACAATGCCCTGTGGGACAGGAAGGCGGGAGAGCTGCAGTCAGAGGGCAGGACGGAGGACGCGGGGCAGGAAAGGCTAATACATTAGCAAGGAGAGGGGCCAGTGCTGAGGATGGGCGAGCAAAGAGAAACAGGGAAGAGAGGGGTGACGGGAGAGACCAAGCCTAGAGACGGAGGGGACTGGAAGCAGGGGAAGCAACGCCGGCCCACCACTCCAGCCCGCACCCCCAGCCCCTGGGCTGCCTGGGCCTCCCATGGGCCTCACTCACCACTTTAAGCTCCGGCACCGAACGGCTCAGGGTCCACTCCTGGCTGTTCACAAAGGAGTCTGCGGGAGAGAAGGCTGCCTGTCAGGACTGGGGTGGGACACACACCTTTGCTATCCACCACCTGCTGCCTCTGACACTGCCCCTTCGCAGGCCAAGGCCAGAAAACAGCACTCACGCCCTAGTTTCCTGGGAAGCAGCAGGAACGTTCTGCGCGGGTGGGACAGAGCAATGCCAGCTCCCACTTCCACTGGCCTGGTCCTGATCCCTCCTCTTACTGCTACAGCAAGGTGCGTAGTTACTACCTTGAGCCACACCTGGCCTGCTGCCCCCCACCTGGTGAGAGGCCTCCAGTGGGTCTCAGCCAGACCCAAGCTGGGCTGCAAGGGCTGCAGCCTCTGCTGCGAGTAGGAACAGCTCACCCTTGCAGGGTGCGGCCACCTACCGCATTCCTGGAGGCTGAAGAGGGAGGAGCCCTTACCTGGCCCTGTTCTGTGAGAGGCAGGTCCAATGGGGAGTGGCCCTCGTCCCCAGGCTCCTCCTGGGCAGGAGGCCACCGCCCTCTGTGTCCCAGAGACCCACCTCCGGGGCTCCTCCTCTCCAGTCCATCCTCAGCTCCTGCGGGGCTCCAGCCACGCAGAGCCCCCCTCTCCTTTATCCTCTAGGTTGTATTGGACATCCTGCGGTCAGCTCTGGGCAGCTTGGGCCTGGGCCAGCCTCTCTGGCTGGGCTTGCTCCCCGTCCCCAGGCTGTCTCAAACAGTGCTTATGATGGTCGGGTCCACAAGCATTCCCCAAACTCATCTGCATAGGCAGCCCGAGGTGAGGGCTCGAGCCTCGCCTGGGAGCTAGAAACGCTGCTGTTCTAGGGTCCCACCCAGAGCCCGCTGGCTCCGAGTGAGTCTCCATCCCTCCCCTCCCGGGCCCCAACTCCTCAGGCACCCAAAGTGATAAGGGGCCCTTCCGACCCGCTCTCATTCCACCACGCTAGGGCCACGGGCGGGAGGCCCTGCCCGGACCCACCTGGAAGGCCACCTCTGCCACAGACACCTTCTCCAGACCCACCGGCGACCCCGGAGCCTTGCCTGCCCGGCGCCGACCCCACTCGACCAGCCCCGGCTAGCCCCCGGGCCCACACGGCACGCCCGCCCCTCCCAGGTAGGTTTCCGGTTTGCTTCACACCCGCCCTCAACCCCGGACTCCAACCAGGGAGGCCACGCAGGCCGGGGCTCTCCCCCTTACCGCTTGGCGCGCCCAGGAGCCCAGAGGCCGCGGCCGCCCGGCGGCTCCACAGCGGCTCGGAGGGCGCGGGCGCGGGCTCCCTCCGGCGGAAGCGGCTGGCGAGCAGCCTCCAGAGGCCGGCGGCAGTGTGGGGCCGGCCCGGCTCTGGCGCGGCGCTCCGGGCCACGGCGCCCAG